TCTTCTTAAATATCATGTGGATACGTTTTCTAAAAGAGTCTTCTTAGATATCGTCTGAATGCATTTTCTACATGCGTCTTCCAAAACCTCGTCATCTTTAAACAGTTTTCTTTAATGCATTTCCTCCGTAGACATGTTATTTATTCTTCTTAAAATGGTTCGACTAACAGCGGCTGAGCAGTAATGTCGCTGAACATTGGCAGTTCGGTCCGAAGTTCGATTCCTAGTTAGCGGGCTGGCTGCATGGGCTTTGCGTGTTTTTTCCCATGTGTAACGTGTATACGAGTCGGTTTCTCTTAGAAAGTCATCCACGAAGGCATCACTTTCGAATTAGATAAAATTTCCTGTGCTTTGTCGTATTGAATTAAATTAAAGCAAAGATCTTAAAATGGTCCACGTCTTTTTAAAACAATAGAGACTATTCCTTTAAAGTAGGCTATTGGTCAGATCAGGAAAAATTTGTCAAGTCGGAAAAAAGTCTAAATCAGAAATTATTAAAATCAATGTTGTACTATCAAAGATCGTCTGACCAGGATTTCAGGTATTCAACACAGGTATTAGTTTCAAAGGTCTTTCGGTAAATCCAACTTTTATCCATGTTTTATGTGTCGTTAAGTTTGACTCTGATGATTTTGTTGGCATTTGGATCAGGTATTCCATTAATTACATAATCAAGAATGGATGAATCATCAAAAGAACTAAGACTGGCTAATTCTCGCGTAAAAATTAAATACTCATAAATGGATTCACCAGGTTTTAAATGTCGTTTTTATAACAAATTCTGAAGTTGCGTACTACTTATTTTAGAACCAAATTCAGATAAAAGTTTTTTTTTAACTGGTACCATGACATCATACCTTTCAAAGACCGAATAAATACTTTAGCAGAACCAGTAAGCAATTTTTAGTAAACATAATCTTTTTAATTCAGATAACCGAAATAATTTAAAAGACTCTTCCAGATCGCAAATGAATGATTCGACCGGATATGTAACCGTTCCATTAAATTCTGAAACATTTTCAAAAATGTCAAGAAAATATAATAAAATATTACTAGGTATTATTACGTTTGGATCTACTGAATTATTAACTGGAGATGATTCTGGCTTAACAGAATATCATCATCAGAATCGTGAATACTTTCGTTTTCAGATAACTCATCATCGTCATCAGTTTCGGATTGTAAAAGTTTAAAATTACAAAGAGTGTTCAATATTAAATCACAATTCTTATCCGAATTTCACTTCTTATTAAGATGTAACACAAAGAAATGAAATCGCTTGTAGTGAAAGTCTGACTTAATTTTTGTTTCGTTTCTGCGACATTAAAACCAAACGGAAAACCAGCAAATTTACGCAATCTGGATCTATTTTTCTTACCACCTAAGGTTCCAAATATTCTGATGCGAAACTTTAACAGATGTTTTGCGACCAGCTCTTAAAGAATCAGCAATTCTAACTCCTTTGTCATGGCGGCCTTGTCTGCAGATTTTTTTCACAAAAGCAGTTCTATCAGACAGCGTTAAGCGCAATCTGTCAGTCGTAAAAGATGACATCCCACATAGTATATATATAGAGAGAGAGAGAGAGTGAGAGGGTGATTCAGAGCAATTGTTCTAAAATCTACGTGTATGTCAGAAATACTTTTATAACAAGCAAGAATCATATAGTAACATTTGATCGCAAACGCAATCCCCATGCGCTACATGCTCACAAAGCCAGAGACTAAAAGATGCAGGACAGATCACAAATAACGATAGTTAACGAAGTTACAGCCTGCAGCTGTAATACACGCCTCGCAACGACGACGCAGCTGTCGACGAACATTCGCAGGAACGCTTGATGTATCGACAATAACGCTACTTGCAGCAACGATTTGTGCTACCAAATCCATTTCCGATTCCACAGGAGTTTTCATTCAACTCCAAAGAAACAAATAAGAGGGGATGAGATCTGGCGAACGAGGTGACAACAGGATGAGTTCAGCTCAGCCAATGCATCGTACCGGAAATATAACGTCCAGATAGTGGCCGGCATTGCGGGAGAAATGCTTTGGAGCTCTGTCATATTGAAACCACATCCGGTGCTGCACATGGGAAACCACACCCGGTGCAGCAATTCCGGTGCTGCCGGTATTGCTGAGCGACATGAGTGGTATGTTGCTCAGCAATTCCGGCAGGACTTGAGCTAGAAAGGTGTGATATGTCTCTCCATCTAATATCAATGGAAACAATGAGGACCCGATCATTCTATCGTCGCCGATCATTCTATCCCTCATTCACCGATTATTCTATCGATCACCCGACCATTCTATCACCCAATCATTCTATCCCAATCTATCGTCGCTGCAGCGAGCAGCATAGGTTCATGTGGCTGTTGTATTTTTATGTGCCTACGCATGCACACTGGGCACACTGCAGATGCCTTCTAGTGTAAAGATTGCTTAGTAAAAATAACGTCAGCTACAAAGTTGGGGACCGTTGCAGTCTGCTGTAAAGACCAATGTGGAAAGTCCACACGCTGCTGATGATCACCCGCGAACAGAACCTGCACACGTTACACGTGGTACAGATACAATTCGTTCTCATGTAAGATACGCCAAACGCTGGATTGAGAAGTACATAAATGTATTCCAATACTTCAAGTACTCGTCCTTGGGTCATTTTCGATGTCTTACAGCATGGATTCTACCAGGTTGTGTGTCCGAGATGTTCTGTCAATACCAGTATCATTCATTCTTGTTTCGAAACTTCCGATTTCGCTCAACTGATTATGCACACGTCCGAACATGGTATAAGCAGGAGTACATCTGTCAGGGAACCGGTGTGGTACAGTTCCCTAGCGGCTGTTCCACTACAATTAGCTGCCCCGTAAACGAGGCGCATATTCGCCATTTCTCTATTCATATAGCGATTCAATCCTTCCTTACGCTCATAGACCCAAAATACGCTTTTCGTTTCTTATCCTGGCCAGCTTTCCTAGCGGCCTCTAGCGATATCTTGGGAGTCTGGGTTACTCATGTCACTATATATTCTTTTAATGATTCTTGCTTATTATCATATTCCTGATCTATATGTAGATTTTTGAATAGCTCTGAATCCCTTGTATATTCCTGTGCATATATCCCGTACGTACAGGATATTCACTTAAAAGGTGGACCCTTCTTAGAATCAATAAAACAGTAAGTGAACATCTGTATGAGACAGCCTACAGAAATGATGACCTTATAATTCAATGCACTTGTCACCACGTTTCATTATATTCTTAGCAATTTTATAAAGCCTTTCCCTTATCTGTGTTCTGGATGGTAGCAGTGACGCTCAATTTTGCAGCTTTTTTAGTGTGTGTATGTATTGTTTATAAACACAGTTTTACGAAGCGTCCCCACAAAACGTTATCTAGATCGGGACAATATGTTTCTTCTGTCTCGGGGTGGGAGGACTTCCTCCACCGTTTTTGTGGTAAAATCCAGTGAGATTCGTTATCCTGCAATAAAGCAACGAGCTTCTAGAATGTGTTTGATGTGACGTCTATGATTGTTTCAAAGAATAGATTCGTCGTCTTGACATGGCACACCAAGATATTTTTACAAATATAGAGAACATTCGATAAATATTGCAGATCTTCGGAACTCCATCTTCAGTAACATTGAAAATAGCAATTTCATTTCAATGAAACCATGTCTCAACTGTGAAAAGTGCCTGATGTAAAATAGAAATGCTGTCACTAAGTTTTACAAAAAAAAAAAAAAAAAAAAAAAAAAAAAACAAATAAAATAAAGATAAATACACAGAATGATTGGGTTTAGTATCTGTTCCCCACGAAAGACTCATCAAACCCCATGACGCTTGAGTATTTTATTTGAAGTGGGTGGGTGTAACCAGTTCAGCTTACAGCTATGCGTAAGTTCTACCGACCAATAAGTCCCATACCATGAGTTTTCGTGAAATGCTAAAGTTTATGCAAATAAGAATACTGTATAAAATCAAATTTAACTTTATTAGTTCTCTACCTGAGATTCTTAAATTACAAGCTGACAGTCTTACTCGATTGGTTATTAAATGTAGGTGGGATCAAATTTAAATCTTGAGAAAGTCACAATTCAATTTAGTCTAGAAGGAATCATTAATCTCTGGCTGATAGTACGTGTTTAAAATGTTCATTTGCAGCTTACCATTTGGACAGGTAATTCGTAGGATTCTTCTACGCAGGCCAGACATTCGCCAATAGCTAATTCACTCCACACGTGGCCATATGTTTCTCGTTCGTTCCCTCATTCACACTTGTTTCTTTCGGGTAAACTCTTTTATACATCTATACCTAGCACATAAAATCTATATAACCTTCAGGGAAAGAAACATGACTTGAAGTTAAAAAAGGACAATAAAGACGCAAATTAAAAATTAACTTGTTAGTTAAACAAACTATAGTGTCACAACCCCTTTCTACGTCTGAAGAATTCATGCCCCTCCCCGCGAAAAAAAGGCAGTTGGGCTATCAACCTCATAACATATAATACAACAATTAAAACCATCACGAACAAAATAAAAATATGCCAAAAATGATGTACTATCAAATGTATGGTCAATTTTTTAACTGAATGCCCTGCATATAAATGTACAAATTTAATTAAACATGATATTCCCTTTAAATCGTGTGTAAATGTGTATTTGCATATATATATATACAAAAACAATCATGTTGCAAAATCATGATTCCTTAATGTGTATATGAGTACACACAAAAGGAACATAATGTTTGTATTTTTAAGAAAATTCATTCAATAACTAAGAAAAGGAGGATAATAAAAAATCTAAGACAAAAAGTTTCTTGTTTACTTTTACCAATAATTTTAGATGAAAAATAAAGCCTGTAGTGAACTGTTAATTGTTTCAGTTCGATTGTTATTTTACATTTTGCTTTCTTTATCATCGCTGAGCTGTTGTTCAAAATAAATTCTGTCTCTTTGCCTGCATATTTTATTTGTCTTTTGTGTTTGCAGGTAAGTCTGGACTCGAAGGTTCGTGAAATCGTGAATAAGAACATGGTGGCGCCCACAGCTAACACTTTTGACGAAGCTCAGTTGCAGATCTACACCCTTATGCACAGGGACTCCTATCCGCGATTCGTGGGGTCCACCCTTTATAGGCGGATGGCTCAGCTCTCACCGCCAACTCCGCCCACCCGTAAAACATCAATTTCAGTCGGATGACCGTGGCTTCTCTGCTACTTCTACTCTCTGTCACCTTGAGATATACTCAGACGTCATCCATGATATATCTATATATATACATTAACATATATATAAATATATTACATTATGCAATCCATGAACCTACAGAAGCGATTACTTAATGAATCGATTTGTTTGGTTCATCTCAAACGCCGGTATATTGATCCTTATATCTGCAGAAAATAGCCTCGTTCTGGCAAGGCCTTCGAGGTTTTTGCCATTCCTGGGTAAATAAAATAAGAAATCCTTTCTGAAGAAATGCGCACCATTATTTTCTTCTCGAAGGGCAAACAAAAAAAGCAAATATTACTTGATTTTTGAGAATCACGAAAGAGATGGAACTTGCGGTAATTGTTTTCTTAATCTATTTACAGTTCCTCGGTACAGCTGCTATAAAAGATTATGCAAAGACAAAATGGACAGGAAAAAATCTTAAATATAGTGACACGGACTGGGATATTGTCTAGTTTTGTTGTCCAGGTTTTAAGGATACGTAATATGAAAAGGATTCCTTTCTTATTTCCCTTTCAATTAAGAAATTTCATTTCAGGGAATCATCTCAAAGTACAGAGTTGAAGTCAACTGGTCAAATTTTCTCTCATTGTGATGTCACATGTGGTAGTGTACAACGCATCATGACAAGAAAGATCTTCAGAAGCAAGTGAATTTTCATTTGCTTCAGACTAAAATTCATGACAATAATTTGCAATGCACAAGAGGTGTACAAAAGCTAATGGACCAGTAATCTACAGCTTACAACTTAGCAAGACCGCTTTTAGGTTTTTCAACCAGATATTTCGAGCATTCCGTTCAACTACTATGGAGGTACGTACATTCCATTTAAGTTGCCTCACAACCACAAAAGACATTTATAAAGTTCTCCAAAAATCACAAATTGCTAGTTTACTCGCATGGAGTAAGATATTGTATATGGTGCAACGACGAATAAATAAGTGGACTAAGAAATCCATCTTTGAATCCAAAACCAGCCACTGATGTAAACCCGGTTAAATGCTACTTAAAATACTCTTCTGACACTTAGCACTTCGCTACGTGCAATGCAATTTTTTGATGAAGAATTCTAAGTCATAATATTGAAGTGCTGGGTGTAAAAATAGAGAGAGAGAGAGAGTGGGCTGTACTTTGAAATCCGTGCTAGTTGGCTCGCGTATGTTATAATACTAATGTACTTGCTGACATCCGCATCATTGACTTTTGAAGTATAATATGTTTGCAATAACGAAAAGCAAATCACCTTAAGCATTGTTGCACACGTGATGTATTCAAAGTCCAAGGTAATATAATATATCTTCAAGCTCAGCCACAGGCCTTTAGTGCAATTGATTAGCATTCGTTTCACAATCATAAGCTGGCAAAGTTACGAATACGAAGTTGAAAAATTTGTGGTGATGAAAGCATGTACCGCTTGATGCCATTAGAAATGATAAAATGTTTTATTTATTTTTATCTAATCGTTTTTAGTTAGGCATACAATGTTCGAAAGGTATTGCAAGAATTTCTACCGCCTTTTCAGTCTAAGAAACTGTTATGAAACTGTTTTCTTCGCACATCTGGAATAGAGCAGTCGTGCGATTACGAAACAATAAAAAGTTCTCATCACTTGTTGTTTTCGTAGCACGTGTTAACACTTGCTGCAATCACCTTCATGCTCATCACTGTCAAAGAATCTTTAAATGGATTACTTTTAATTTTGCCTGCATGATGTTTATCTTTTGATAATTTTTTTAAAATATTTTATTTAAATGCAAATGCCTCTGTCTGTATATGTAATATTTTGGGGTTCATGCCAGAATTATCGTTTAAATATTCTAATTAATGTCAAGACTATAAACTTCAATATAGAAATACTATTGGTAATAAAACAGAATTCCCTCTCTTTCTTGCAGATTCGAAAGCGAATAATGTTTGCTTATCAAAGAGTGTAATAAGATAAAAGAGAGTGTAAGAATTTAATTGTAACAAAATTGTTTCAATAGAATAGAATAGTACAGAAAGGAATAGTACGCTGTTGTTTGCTACTCAATGACTGCGATTTTTAAATTTCGCTTTTTACGTGCTCATTTATCCAAATCATTTCCCCAAATCTATGGTATTTTAATTAAAATTAAATCTCTTGATACTTCTCCATTATGCATAATGTCTTTTCCTAAATATCAATTTTTCACCGCAAGATCTTTTCTGTCGTAAATATTTTATTATAACATGCACTGCGAAAAAAAAGGGACAGTTCTATATCTCCCGTTCTACTGGGCAGATTGACGAAATTCAAATTGCATTTTTCATGTCTCGAAAGTGCGACTTAGGATATATATTATATTTATAAATAGCAATGTTCTAATATAGGTATTTTGACACAAAATCGCACTTTTTCTGAAATGACATGTCATTTTTTTTCCATATTTCGATTCTACGACTCAAATTATGCCAAAATATTAAGTTTTGTAAAATTTGGTGAGAAATTTGTGGAGAAATTCAAAAGTTTATTTTGGCGCATTTTTTTCAGTTTGCGCCAAGAATAATTTACTTAGCGAACTTCTTAATATATGGCAACCTATCTTCCTCTCCCTTTTTGCATTGTGCATGAGCGAGAAAAAATCACATCGTTCCTGCTTTCAAATAATTTCAACAAAGTGCCTAAACCACATTTGATGTTATTACCGCTTTTAACAAATATGCCAAATTCAAAACACACCAATATATAAATTCACGTATATATTCGGCAAATTTTGAATAAAAAACTCTAATTTTTTGCATGTGTGCCTGGAAATATATCTATTTTAAGATGATGGTAAACATTTTATAGATTACAACTCAAAATGCTTTTCGAAAAATTATTTTAGAATACCAATTTAAAAAAATAAATTATAAAAAATGGGCGAATTTTATTTGGAATGAACCTCAATTTCGAAATGGTAAAAAACGAATAAAATAGGTTTAATAAAAAAAGAGAGACTAATAAATATATGCCAAATTCAATTAACATTGAGGAACTAAAATTTTCAGAGCTAATTTTTTCAAAAGTACTCGTGCGATTTTTATGAAACTTGGCAGTTTGGCATAATTTGAGCCGTAGAATCGAAATATGAAAATCTTGGCACGTCATTTCAGAAAACGTCCAATTTTGTGTGAAAATACCTACATTAAAACAATGCTATATATAAATCTAATACATATCTTAGGTTGCGCTTTCGAGACATGAAAAACGCAAGTTGAATTTCCTCAATTCGCCCAGTAGAACATGAGATATAAAACTGCCTTTTTTTTTCCTACATGTACATCACTAATAAGTAAATAATTCTCAAATCCTGTTCAGTGTATTTTTGTAATTTTCCAAACATTTTAAATACTTAATATTTTATTAATATATTACTATTTTTGTTTTATTACGAAATATTTTAATTGATATATTTGTTATTTCATATTAATTCAGTCTAAATTCATTGCTTGGAACTGAATTATTTTTCGTTTAAAAATTTAACTTTAGCTTTAATAATACATTATTCCTGCTAAATGACGCTTAAATGTTGTCAGCATTTAGTATATTTGCACCTTAAAAATATAAAATATATGTTAATAGAAAGCAGATAATTATTCGTCAGTTATATGTTATTTCATACGTTCTAAGTTTTTACGTTCTTATTTCCACTATTATATTAGCTTTGATAAGCGGCAACGAAATTTTGTGGCTCGTTTTTTAATTGTGACATTTGATAATCCCTCTTTTTTTGCTTTTCTTTAGGAAAATGTTTTGACACATTTTGATAAAGTAAATCAGTTGCATGAGTGAATCTGAAATTTTGTCATTCCGTTAGAATGAAAAATTATTTTTCTTCATTACTTTTTTGGATTACTATGCGTAAGGTATTAATTAACTTTACTTAAGTAAACAATTTAAATTCGTGCAAATAATGATAGAAGTATATCTCACTTCGTTGTTCTTTCTTAAAAAATAAAAAAATTTGCAGCAATCCAAGATGAAATCAGTTGATTCGCATCAGCTGGAAACCTCATTTGATCGTTTTGTACCTCGGCTGATAATTCTTATAATATTCCAGACTTTTTCATTATTATTATTTTTATTAGACAAAATAATTGCCACGTAATATCTCAGACAGTTTCGGTTCGTGGCGATCTTAGTGTTTCCGCGTTAGAAATAGACTTAATAATAGCTATAATATGGAGCTGAAGTGGTTAGATTGTTAAACTAAAAAATAAATGAAACATATTTTGAAACTGAGGAAACAATTTGTATTAAAAATTACAAAATAGGTATCTATTTTGAATAATCGTATCAATGAACAAATGAATTGCAACTGAGTTTAAGGGTTTCTTTTTTTTTTTTTTTTTAATCATCCATCTTTTGAAATCCCAGAATCAGACCAGATATAACCACCTCATTTCCTCTTCCCCAAAAATATTTTTGATACGACACTTGATCTTTATTAAAACATTTTCTAACAAACCAGTATTACAAAGATATGACGTCGAACATACTTTCATCATGTTTTAATGCCATCTAAAATTCAATTAGTTTCGTAGTAAATGATTACTGTAAAAAATCATCTTCAGTATATTATCCCAAGACAGCTCAATGAGATTTCCTTCTATAGAAGAAAATTCAGGTCGAGTTTTGTCTTTCAAGAGGATTAAATCTAAGAGAATTTATCGATATTATCACTCTAAAATTAATTTTCATACCAATTGATAGATATTTTTCAAAACCGGTGGTTTGGACAGTGTCTGCTAGATATTATTCCGGTCATAGTACCATACCTCGATTGTCTGATTCTAAAATCCTGTGGATTAAATATAATTTCTAAGAAAATATTGTAAAATTTCGCCGTGCTCCTAGGAGCCAACCACAGCGCTACAGAACCCATCAGTACACAATTGGGAATTGCTTGGATGTCTTGAAGGGTTCAAGAGTGAAAGAATTTTTTCTTATAGGCGAATTCAAACGATTCTTATTTATTTTGACAACTATTAAAATTTTTCATTGCATAAATTCTTTTCCCTCTCTTATAATATTATAATATGTCTATAAATTTCATACATTTAATTGTATAGAATGTTGATTCTCGTAGCATCTGATGCTATTTCTCTAGTCTCGTATTCTTACGTGAAAGGAAGAAATATTCATCTGCTAGAGAATGATATGTCGAACGTTGAGACGTAGCCATTATCGTGAAGCATAATAGTAGCCAAGTTGAAAACACAAAGAAAAGGTTCTTGAAAGAAAATAAAAGTTATACTACAGAAAAAATACAAAATATATGAAGTTAAATAAATCGATTGCTTTGTTGCTTACTTTGTTGCTCAAACTTTAACGTCTGCAATCGAAATATAGCTTTAATACATTCTAAAGAACTACAAAATCCGTGTAAGTCTTTTTATTACCATGCTTATTTTATTGCGGTGGACTGAAATATTGAAAAATGGTCTGCTGCATCGGTCGCGGACACTTAGCCGACAGGGACACTTAGCCGACAGGACATTTAGCCGACAGGGACACTTAGCCGACAGAACTTTTAGCCGACAGGGACACTTAGCCGACAGGACATTTAGCCTACAGGACATTTAACCGACACGGACACCTAGCCGACAGGCCATTTAGCCGACACGGACACTTAACCGACAGGTCATTTAGCCGACACGGACAGTTAGCCGACAAGACACTTAGGACACTTAGACAACGGACATTTAGCCGACAGGGCCATTTGTCTGAACACAGAGAGTTAGCCGTCAAGACATTTAGATACGGGACACTTAACTGTCAACACATTTATTCCACAGGACACTAAGCCGACTGTGACGTTTAGCTGACACGTACCCAATAATTATTCAAACTTACTATCAATTACAAAATTTCTCGACTTCTCCATAAGTTCAATATTTAAGTTATTTTTTCACTATCAGTAAAATTCATTTTTAGATTCTTAAAGATCTCATATAGCTTTTAATTATTGAGTTAATTTAGCATGGTTTGATATGTATCCATGGACGTTATAAGAAATAGACCAACCCAAATGGGTTTTCTCCCCTGCCTTGACGTATTGCCGGCTGTCACCTTGCCCATATCCGGAGGAGTATGCAGCGCGTATAATTTTCAAGAAAAAGCTGGTAATAGCACCTCATTTGACAAATTAGAATTTTTAGATATTTTTATTTTTGAAACTGAAATTGATTTTTAAAAATTTAGCATGTTTATCGAGCATAATTGATGTTCTAAATAATTATAAAGCTGTTGCATGCTTTCAGGTCGGGATATTTTAGTAGCTTTTCCTATGCTGCAAGGAAATTTGTATCTCCTTCTTTTAAAAGTAATATTTTAAATCTGAACTAATAGAAAAATTCAAGCAAAAAATTTTCTCTTACAATTTTTATGCTTTTATTGGTATAAATAAGTAAAAAATACTAAAATTGAAAAAAGGGATTTTTGAAAGTTTTGCTTAAAATTCTTATTTGTACTGCTTTTTTAAAATTATATCTGAATATTAAAGCATAATATTCTACAAAGAAGTTTTATTTCAATAATATTTCCTAATACATTATAGTGATTAACACTTTTAACACTTTAATAATTTTTATGCATTTATTATAAAGTTAAAAACTGTATTTGACTGTAATAATTGATTGTGCTAGTATTTTATAGTGATTATTTTTTTAATTTATGTCTAGTTCTGAATAAGTTTTCTTCTTTATTGTTAATTTATTTTATCAGCCCAAAGATGCGGCAGCTCAAAAAAGCTATTAGTTTCGAAACGGCATTTTGTTTTGTTTCACTATAAATGTCCGTTTCACTTTGCAAACTGTTGCCACCAAATATTATCGCCCTGTATTATATTTAAAGAAATTAATGAAGAATCTGCATGAATGCATGTATGTTTCTCTCGCACTGTGAAAAAAAAAACAACAGAATTTAGAACCATAAAATTTTGAATAACGTAATCCTCTACCCGAACATGGGCACCTGCAAGGACTAATTTCGAATTTGTTTTAATCCATTTCATATTTTGTAATTTTAACGAAGTTTTGATTAACAAACTCAACGAGTTCAAAGCAAGCAATGGCAACCCTGTACAGAAAATAACATTTTTATCTCCAAGCGGAAATTCTAAAGATATGTCTTTTCAAATATTTTGTGATTTGTTCTTGAATTGAATTTATTGGTTTACTTGCGAAGAACATGATGTTTAATAAATAAAGGTAACACGCAA